GAAGTGGGGATTAATATCAAACAGAATATTTCATTTGTAGGCCAAGATCACTGAGGTTTCACTTTCTACACAAAATGCAAATATCAATATTTTATCTGTGTAAACTTGAAATTTAATTGAGTTGATAATGTTTCATGAATCTCAGGTTTTAAGGTGAGAATTGTCAGAGGAATGTCAAATATAAAAGCTGTTGTTGGTGTGTTCAAGTGATTTGTTAGAAAAGATTAAATATGAAATTCCTGCATTTGCACCTATCACCACAACTTTCTCCTGGTTTCTCCTCCACAGGCCAGGACGGTCACAAATTCATGCGCAACTAAAGAGGTGCATCACGCATAATAAAAACTGCGATGCCTGCAAAAATAGCGAGACGATTAGTGTAAACAATGGGGGAGTCTGAGCTCTGAGGGGGAGGCCGTAAAAAGCCATGACTGCAATGCCAAAAACATGTTTTTTGAGAGGGGCGAGCCAGTGTTGCCTATTACTATAGCAACAGGAAGACCTGGCTGCTTCAATCAGCTTTTGGTTTGTTGGGGAGGCCGTGGATAGGCAGAGGAGCTCTCGCCAGCAGAGCCATCCTGGTTTTACTAATGAGGGCAGAGGGACGAGCTGGGTGTCAGCCAGCCTGGCCGACCTCCACACGTCCTACCTGTCACCCTGCCTGTCATGCCACACGAGCAGCCCCAGGGGGGGTCGGCTACAAGAAACACAAACAGAGCGACAGCCTGGTGAGAGAGAATAAACACATCTGATCTGACTGCAGGAAAACTGTAATCGTTACCTGCTGTGGTATAAAACAGCCTCATTATCACAATACAGAAGGATTTCAAACAGACACTGTGTTCGCTGATGGTTCATCACACACACATGTTTCAGTTTGTTATTGCTGCCACCACAGAAAAGTTTTATCTTATTAAACGTGACAACATCGTGTGTCTCTGTCACTTTATTCTGGATCTAGGATCAGTCAGTGTTGAATTAACGTCCGTCCTTCAGCGACCTGAAGTGACGCTCAGTCTGTAAAAACATCCACATCCGCTCATCTGTCATCGGTTTACAACTCTGTATGTTTTGTGCTGTGATAGTTTCAGTGGATTGATTGTTGTTTTTATTTAAATAACGGTTCATTAAACCCCACAGGAAGTTAAGATCCTGTTATCAGAGGCCTGTGAAGTGATAATGATGTTGTGACAGTGATGGAAGTTACAAAGGTGAAGGTGTCGGAGGTGGAACTAAAGAAATATTTTATTTGATTGTATTTTTATATCATTACCACTGTCATG